GATATCTTTCAATCCGACGAATCAGTTTTCCTGAGGAGTTCATGAAATCGTGTTCTCCAAAATCTCTGTCCTGGTAAGATATCTTTGATTCTTTGTTTAGATCGTAGTTAATTTATGGATGGAATTGGGAATTGAAACAATCAAAATTAGGGTTTTGATTAGAGTTATTGCATGTGAAAATAATTGGGGATTTTCTGAAATTAGGGTTGTTTGGTTACTGTCTCAACCGTAATTTATGATTTTTAGATGAAGATGAAAAGGCGGTAGGTTACATCTCCGTCTCTCTTTTAGATTCTGTAAAAGCTTTATTTCAAGTCGATTGTGTTTAAGCTTGTTAAGGTTTGATTACCGCGTATTGCATAATCCTTCTGTAACACTTTTCTGTGGAATACGTGAAATATAGTGGAACGATGTTAAGCCATTCTAAATGTTTTTGCATTTCAGGAGTTGGAGGGCCAATCACTATTTGCAAGCTCACAATTTGACATATTTGGTTTTACAGCAACTGAACAATCTCACAAGCAAGCTGAGAAAGATCAGCATGAGAGGTATCTGTATACATTTTTATCATATTCCTTAATGCTTTCATGCATTCTTGTAGCCTGGTCATAATTCAAGTGGATTGGATATCCCACTCTTTCTTATCAATCTTTCTACGATAGTTGAATCATTTGGAAGTTTTTTTGGAGATATGTTTAGGCTGTTTGTTCGGTTTGAGTTGGCTACGAAGTTGCCATCTATATACTTTATGCTTCGTTTGTAACATATTTTGTTCACAAGCTATCAGTCATTCCTGGCCCAGTGCCTGACGAACTTATTTCTCCAGTTTCAAAGTCAATTGCTTGGTTTCTAAAATGTTCTTTAATATATGCAATACCTCCATTTTTGTCGTTCTCTTTATTGATTTTCAATGCATAGAGTAAAGAAATCTTGATCTCACACATATGTTTCTTTCTTTTTTTTCAGGGGTAAAACTTTTGCTACAGATGGGATGGCGGCGTGGTCATTCAATAAAGGATGTGCGTGCTAGCTCAAGTTTGATCTTGTTTTCATGCCTTAATCCCTTTTTTTTGTGCACCAATGTGTACCGTCTGTACTTTTATTATTTTTGAAATATCACAGCAAGCTACTCTGTTTTATTTTGTTTTGTTCCTATTGATTTTACTCTTGAATCTGTATTTTCTGGTTGTTAATTTATTCAGTCTTCTACTCTTAATGGTAATCATTTTTGTGTTTGCAGGTTTGGTTCTGAATCTGGTTTGAAGGAATCTGGTTTCTTTTCCACCTACTAAGCAAGGTAAATAATCCTCCTGAATCTTTCTTATATCAATGATCATCATATTGTGTTTGTGTTCATATGTTTTACAATACTGAACTTGGTTAGGTGTAGAACTGATAAATGCATAAGTTTACTGCTGTTTAACTGATAAATGGTTGTTTACTGTTGATTAGAACTTAGTTAGGTGTAGGTTAGGTTATTGTCTCTGTGATCAATGTTCTGTATTGTTAGATTAGACATATACATGTATTCATTGATTGCAAAAAAATTAATAAAAACTTTTTGTTGTTGATTAGGACTACTCTGTGTGTACATGATATTATTGAATGCTTACTGTTTATTGTCTTTGTGATCAACGCTTGCTAGTGTTAGCTTAGACAGAGAGTTGTTGGGCATTAATTACTAAAACACAATTAAGAACTTGTTATGTGACACTTAAACACGAAAAACTTGCACCTCTTGAGTTCTTACTGTCTCTGTGATCAATGATGTTAGATTAGACATACACTTGTATTCATTGATTGCTAAAAACTAATAAAAACTATTAAAACTTTTAATGTTAAAAACAGTAACCAAAACACACTTGAACCTCTGCTTATAAATTAAACTCTTCATCAGTAGCTTAACACAGTCCAAAACTTTTCATTTTGCTCATTCCCTGTTCCTTTTAACATCCACAATCATAACCTTTCA